AACATTGAAAGGCCTCCGGCGTGTTGTCCTCGCGTAAATACAGCGCTCCGAGCCTTTCAAAGAACGTCGGATTGTTTGGGGAGGTCCGCAGCGCCTCTTGGTAGAGCTGCATCGCGCTCGGGTAGTCTTTTAAACACCCAAACGCCTCCCCGAGCTGAAGGATAATTTGGTCGTTCGATTCAATGCTCACGGCGCTCATAAAAGCCTGGACGGCGTTGGGGTATTGTTCGAGGTACATCAAACACCGCCCGATGCCGTACCGCAGCTCCCAATCCTCCACCTCATGCTGGGCCATCACCCACACCTCGGCCTCCTCGAAGGCCGCGATGGCCTCGGCGTAGAGCCCGCAGAGGAAAAAGCCCTGGCCGAGCTGCTTGAGATTCGCCAACGTCTTCGGCCCGATGAGGACGGCGGCCTGAAGAAGGCCCAACGACTCCATTAACGCGCCTTCCATTCGCCGAAGAAGGCCTTTGACGCGCATCGCGTACTCGCAAAGCCCTTCGCTCTCCCGCAGGACTTTTTCCACCAAAACCAGACAGGACGCGTAGTCCTGCCGGATGTAGAGCTCGTGAATGAGCCAATTTTCACCCTCGCGGGGGAAGGGAGGGTCCGCCATGGGGAACAAAACGGAAAACACCTCAAATGAACACTCCTGAGAATGTCAGGAAAGAGGGGGGGGGGGAGGGGGAAGACCCCAGAAGATCTTGGTTTTAATGATTCGGAATTAGCAACCTTGAAATTGAGTTCAAGAACAACTCTGGTGGAAAAGTGGAAAAATATATATCGATCAATATACATATATAAATATATATTATATATATTGGGGGAGGGAGGGGGAGCAATATGTTCTTTTATTTTTATAAATTTTATAGAAACGCATGTCAGGTTTTATTTTTTCCCCACTTTGGAATGAATGATTGTGCAAAGCATTCCATAGCTATTGATTCTGAATATGAAATACTGGAATATAATTTGCATATATTTTTAATATAATGTATAATTAAAATATAGAAAAATTCTATTCAGTTGACCTATTTTTAAAAGGGTTACGATATCAGCCGATGAAAACACAAGAAACTAGGCGTCGGCCATCGCTCTCGCCATCTTTTCCCAATCAAGAAATTCTAGGTCTTTGAGACGCCCTGAAAACATATTGCACAATTGCTTGATTAATTTTTTGTAAACCTCAAGTTCACTTCTACTAAAAGTTTCAGGCTGATCCATTACTACCATTTTTTGCCTTTTGCGTATAAAACAATCTAAAATGGATAAATAGCAGTGGACAAAGATTTTCAAATTATAATAATTGAAGAGACTTATAGAAGTCTCTTTATCATTTCTGCTAAGATTATCACTATTCGCTTCCAGTTCATCATTTATTTTCGCACTTAAAATTTCGTGCACAAAATGAATCGCATTACAAGCTTCAACAACAGAAACGGGTGGGTAATTCTTCCAAAGTTTACACTCCGCACCCGTCCCGTCGTCTTGGTAGGCGGTCGGTAAGTGGAGGCTTCGGTAGGCATCCGAGCAACCTAACACGTCGTACGCGAACAACGTAAAGGTACATTTTTTCTCATAAAAAGACGGCATATAGACCCATGACGATTCCCACAAAAACGTTACCATTTCCCTCTGCACGGCATCGTTTTTGTGGTAAATACTCCACTTGATCGCCCGCAATAGAGCCTTGGGCAATGTCCAGCAGGGCGTGGATCCCCGCGGCTCCGTTTGAACGGCCGCACCCCCGGACGGCGCGGGTTGCGAAAGTTGCGAGAGGCAAAACACCACATTCATCGCCGCCCCAAAGGTTGAGCTAATCCATGGATTCATCCACTCTCGAGTAGCGGAAATCGCTTCCGCCGAGGCCATACTGGCTAACGTGGAGCCCGATTGGATATAAATAGCTTTCGCGCTTTGATAATTCAACAACAGGATGGACTCGCAAAAGCGCAGCTCCGCTATCAGCCATAACCCAAGGTGATGTCCCGTCCGGACCGCCGGGTCGATATCATCGACGAATTCCATCTTCCCCAGCCTCACCTTGTCATCCTTGTAAAAATAAAGAGGGGAAGAAAGGACGGATCGGTAAAGATCATCCAGTCGGAAAAACATCGACCCCGAGAAAGAATCCCCGGGGAGTTGGTTGTGGTAAGCCAAGATCGCCACCAAAGCCTCGGAGAGCTTCTCCGCCAGCGCCGCGGCCAAAAAAGGCCGGAGGGCCTTGTTGAAGGCGTTAAAAACAAACTCGCAGGCCGCATTGACCCTCACGTCGGCGCTCATGCCGATGTGAGGGGAGAGATAGCGCCGCTGGAGAAAGGCGTAGAAGACGGTCCAGGCGGAGTAGTCCGCCCCGGCTTTGCATCCCGCCGCCAGGGCCGCAATCGCCCGGTCCTCGGCCATCCCTCACGGCAACCCAAGAGTTCGCGTAAAGATCGATAAAGGAAAAAAATAGAATCGCGCTCCTTCACAAAAGGTGAAAATGGAAGAAGAAATTCTGAGTTGAGAGAAGGGGGAATTATACACAACGCACAGCAAACACCACTCAGGGGGGGGGTCGTTTGGTTATGAATTTCAATTGGGATGGGTGAAAAATATCTGCTCTATGCTAAATCGACCCTGCATTTGTTTATTATGGTGTGTTTTGTTTTGTTTTTGAAGGAAAAAATAATAGGAATACCAATTCTGATGCCACTAGCTTCGCATCTACAAAATAATCGAAGCCGAAGCGTGGATTGAGTTTTTCATTTGTTTAAACCCGTCCCACAGAGGGACCTTAAGCAGTCTTCCACAAAAATTCGCTTCATCGCCGCATAACATCGCTCCAAGTTGTCATTGGTCAATCGATAATCGATCCACTCCGGGTTCCGATCCGCCCATTGAATCCACTCAGAGCCAAGTTTGAGTCGAAGCGCGAGGGATTCCGCGGACTCGCTTTGCCGTCCACCCAACCGCGCCCTCAACGTCGCCATGTCGGGTGGATCGATAAATATCACTTTGCACTTCGCCGCGCGCGAGGTCGCCCTCACCCCCTCGCTTTTCCCACCCTCTTCTTCAATACCGCTCGCCTTCCCCGTCAAGGGGGCGTTCAAATAAGATGAGTCGTTGGGTTTGGAAGGAAAAGGTCGGGTGAGGGGCGGGGAATCCCGAAGAATCGTCGTGGCCGCGCAATACCGACGAATCCCCACCACCCCGGCGAGGTCGGTATCCATCAAAACGACTTGGTTCCGCGCGAAGCCCTGCTCGAGAGCTCGAACGCTCGTTCCGTAAAAATCCCCCCCGGTCTTTTCTGTTTTCTCGCCAAGCCAGGTGTACTCAACCATCGCGTGATTGTTGATCAGCCCTTTGAAGTGGGATTTGCTCACGAAGTGGTAGTCGACGCCGTCTTTTTCGCCCGCCCGTGGGGAGCGCGTGGTATGGCTGACGCTAAACCCCGCCTCGCGAGGGAAGTCCCGCCGAAGACGGCGAATCAACGTCGACTTCCCGCACCCACTCGGGCCCACCACGACTAAAATGTCAATTAACCGCTGAAATTGCATCGCAGGGTGAGTTCCGAGCCTTTGCAGTCGTCGTGGTGGAAGTACTCCGGGGGCCGTGGGGTCTGCCGCTTGCGGGTGTGAGAATTGCGGAGGAAGGGAGGGAAAGGGAACTTTTACGCGTCCGTAACGTCACGCAATCATCTCCCTCCTAAAAAAAAGGAAAAAAAAGAGAAGAAATGAAATGATAAAAAATAGGCTTTTTCGCTTCACGCAGTTCACCTTCAGTACCATAAGTGAAAAAAGGTAAGCTCAGCGAACATTTCTCCCTCCTTCTGTAGGTCTAGCATATTTCAATTAAAGTCAGATCAAAATGCTTCAAGGCTCACTTACCGCAAATCACTGCATAAAAATAGTATATTGGGTATGAAAAAGAAACGCACACACCGGGATTTCTCGCTTCAAGTATACTTTATTTAAAATATTCCCTTCCTTTTACGGGTCTCAAGAAAACTTTCCCATGGAACCAGTGGTTCTACAAAGGACGTGTTTTGGACGACAAGGGACAATACATTAGGAGTAATGAAAAAGATTCATAAACGGGAAATAATTCGAGCATCACAACACGGAAGACATCATCTAATGATAAGTAAACAAACTTCGGTAAACTTGTTATCATATATCCTTTCTTGGTCCTCTCAGAATCAATTGACTACCCAGAACCAAAACATTTTTAACTTTATCTGTGGAGAAATAAAAGAACAGAGTAGCTTGAGAAGGCCCCAAAGGGAATCATCTAACCTGTTTATTCGCATTCTGATATGGCAAAGCTTACCGAAGTCTTACAATCATTAAAAAAAAAGGAGAAAGTGAGGAGGGGGGAAGGGGAAGTAATTGTCTTAGGTGCAGGTCCATTTTTCCTTCCTAAAATACTCCCCCCCTTCCCTTTGTTTCCTCTGCTCAAATCTTCTTCACGAGCTGCACAACATCCTCATCCTCTAAAAGATGATCCTTTCCCACACGCTGGGGTTGGTGCTTGACGGAGGAGCCCCAAACCCACGCGTACTTGAAGTTCTTCAGCAGCTGGCGGTGAATCCGATTGCAAAAGTTCTCGATCTTTGGCGGCGGGATGATTTTCAAGATCACCGGCTCGTCGTAATCTGGGACCTGCCCTTTCGGCTTCGTGTAGACGCGAATAAAGCTCAAATGCTCCCAAATGCACTCCAACAACCCGTCCAAATTCCACCCATGATGGGCCGAGATCGGGCAGTTGTGCGGAATCCGCGCGATGATGTCGAGCTCCTCGATGGAGATTTGGTCGATCTTGTTCAAAACGTAAACGCAGGGGATATAAATGCGATTCCCCTCAATCACGTCAATGAGCTCGTCGGCGCTGTAATCGCCCGAAAAGAGGATATCCGCGTTGGACATTCGATACTCCCCGAGAATCGTCCGAATCGTCTCATCGTCGAGCTGGGTGAGGGGGCAGGTGGAGGAAATGCTAATCCCCCCGCGATCTTTCTTCCGAATCACAATATCCGGCGGGGAGGTGTTGAGCCGGATCCCGAACCCGTCAAGTTCGCGCTCGATAATCAGCTTATGCTGGAGCGGCTTCGCCACGTCAAGGATGATCAAAATTAACGAGCAAGTCCGGGCCACCGCGATCACCTGCCGCCCACGGCCTTTTCCTTCCTTGGCGCCCTCGATAATACCGGGCAAATCCAACATCTGGAGTTTCGCCCCGCGGTAATTCACGACGCCCGGAACGCAGGTTAAGGTGGTGAACTCGTAGGCCCCCACCTCCGACCGCGTGGAGGTCATCTTCGTCAGCAGCGTGGATTTCCCGACGGAGGGGAAACCGATAAACCCGATCCGCGCGTCGCCGGTTTTCTGAACGTCGAAGCCTTCGCCTTTGCCGCCGCCTTTTTTGGAGTCGGAGGCGATAAGCTCCCGCTTAAGCTGCGCCAGACGGGCTTTGAGGGAGCAGATGTGGGCCATTGTGGCCTTGTTTTTCTGCGTCCGCGCGAGCTCGGCCTCGATGTCGTTGATCTTTTGAAGATTGGCCGACATTGGATTTCTTTCTTTGTTTGTTTGTTTTTAATGTGTGCTATTTTATTTTATTTTAGTTATTTATTTTGGACAAAATACAAACCTTTGTAGATATATATATATATTAAGTAAAGGAAAAATACGATAGCGAGAGGTGGTCATTAACAATTCTTGTGGTTAGGGCCTACCTCAACATTGTTTTCTTACAACCTAGTTGACATTAGTAAAATGAATACTAAACGAAAGTAGCCCCAATAAGGGGTTTTTCATGCATACAAAATCGATTAAATCAAAAAAAGGAAGATCCTTTTTGCACATTACTTTATTCATGGGCTCAGTCACTTCTCTTTTCTTTTCCTTTTTGTACTCCTGCTAATTCCATTCTCTGAATGTTTGGATTCGATTCGTCAACTAATGCTGCTCAAATTTTGCGGTTTAGTAAATCTAATGTAGTTTGGAGCAAGTTTACCATGGATGTAAGAATAGCAATACGCTCAGTCAATACCCTTTGACGATACTCTATCCATTTTTTGCGTTTGATGTTATCTATTGGATCTGCTATGGAATTAGCTTTTCCTTCATTCCCTCTATAATTTCCGTTTTGTACAAAATCTTCGAAGGCGGCGTAAGGTTCATGGATCGTATTTTGAATCTCCCCCAACTCTTTTAGCGTGCATTCATCACGGACGTAGCATAACCCCGCAATGAGCTCTTCAGTAATAGTTACTAAACCACGTAAATGGAACTTCATGCCATCACGCAGACGGCGATGAAGGGGCTCATGGGCCTCAGATATTTTCTTCCGCGCTATTCGATTAAGCTGCTGGAGATGCTCAAAGCTTTCGCTCGGCTTGTTGGCTCCCGGCTGTGTGCTCTCGTCATTATTCACAGGTGATTTGCCCTTAGGGGAAACCTTCGGCGTTCGCTTTGTAGTCTCTTTCACCGTCGACGAAACACCCCCGCTGCTGTGTTTAACCTTCACTTTTTTTTTCTTAGTTTTTTTCACACCGCATCGCGTTTGATGTTTTTGCAGGGTTGAGGTGTTGGAAGGGGATATTTTAGAAGTCGAGACACCGTCGTAGAACTTTTTCCCACGCGGTATCGTCTTTGTCCTTTTCGCATTGATCAATAAAGGGTAAGTAATGGTAGTAGTATCCGTCGTTGTTGTTAGTTTTTTTTCTGAAAGTCCAACAGAGGCTAATTCGCCCGTGTGGCCTTTCTCCTGCACCTCCGTGCGCGTTTCTGAGGAAGAGAAAGAGGAACACGTCGAACAGCTATCTTCACTACTTGCATATCTGGCGGAGTCAAGATCGGTGCCGCCGCTAAGATCGAGGAGGTGGTATTCAGCGAGAATTCGCCGCCGCACCACCGCCATCTCACCCGAAACATTCTTCAACATCAGCCGTACAGCTTCGATAAGCCTTATTAATCGCATAAAAATTCCCCAAACCGGAAAAAATGGCTTGTCGAGCATCGCTCCAAAACGACATTCCTCCATAAAAGCCTGATGCTCTCGTGTGAAGTCCTCCACACTTGTGTAAGTGTACAAAGTTCCTTGCTCAAAACGCAAATTACTGCGATAACCTTCAGAAAGCACACGGAGTCGATCCCACATCGCGCGCTGAAGTGTGATAAGAATATACCGTGCGGTGTTTAGAAAAAAGGAAACCTCGAGGACCTGCCCACAGCTCAAACCAAGCCGCCAAGTCGACGTCGCATAGTCCTCCATCGTCTTCCACCGCAGCAAAGAGACAAAAAGCTCGCCATAGTGCCCAGCAAAGCCATTCGGAAGAAGGTGGAGATGGTTTTCGTCGAGTAAGCCCCCGCCGCACGAGGAGTCTGCCGAAGGTTGAATACAATAGAGCCGCAAACGAGATAAAAAGTCCCAAAGGCCACGCACGCCGTATCCACACGCCTCTGTTTCAGAAGTATAAAGAGCCCCCTCCTCATCTTTCGCTTCTGTTTGACCAATATTTGGATCGAGTTTCCAATACACCTCCCCCCCATCCTCTGTGACATACCCATGACCCCCACAGCGCTGCCATTCCCGTTGAAAGTCCTCATTCAGCCCAGCGAGAACTGTTTTCGCGTTAAAATCCTGTAAAGCCGTCTCAAAGAGGTTAGAGCGAAGCGCTTTTCCTATCCTCTCTCTCCACGTCTCCACCACTCGTGCAGCTGTCGGCGCACTCTGCAAAAGGCAAACGTCCATCAACCGCGTTAAAAGACGATGAAGGGGGCCGTGAGGGGGGAGGAGAAGAAGTTGGAGGGCCTTCCGCGCGAGAAACCACGCAACGTACTGACCAAGTCCACGGTAGTAGCCCGTGGCGTCGTGGAGAGTGCGCGCCTGCGCGAGGCTGAGGTGGAGGGAGCGTAGGCAGTCCTGCACCCCTCGCCGCCCCCAGAGCACGCGCTTCGGGTCAAAGCCCCCTACAGGATCACGTCCCCACAAACGCCGCTGTTTCTCCTCCTCCTCGTGGGCCCCCTCCGCCAGGGGGTCATCTCGTGCCCAGTGCTCGACACCGTTAGGGTGGGGGTTAAAAGTGGGACTAGAGTCAGAAATCGGGTTACAGGTAGGGCTAGGGTCAGAAATCGGGTTACAGGTAGGGCTAGGGTTAGAAATCGGGTTACAGGTAGGGCTAGGGTTAGAAATCGGGTTACAGGTAGGGCTAGGGTCAGAAATCGGGTTACAGGTAGGGCTAGGGTCAGAAATCGGGTTACAGGTAGGGCTAGGGTTAGAAATCGGGTTACAGGTAGGGCTAGGGTCAG